TACACTCAAGTGGTGAAGTTCCAAGCTACGAAGGTCTGGATCTTCAATCTCTTCAAGTCTTCTATATATCAGGGCTTGAACCTCCAAATATTTTCAAATCCTTCAAATCTTCCATATCAAGATTTGAAGGAATCGGTGGTGGATCCAAGAACAAGCTGCAAAGCCCTTGGATTGGCGTTCGAGGAGAAGAATTGAGGAAAACTCTCCACAAGTTCCAGAAAATTCCAGAGATTGTACCTACATATTTTCCTAAATTTATATATCATATATTTTTCTTGTCGTTTTGCAGACTTGAAATTTTATCGCGTACAAAATTTTGGCACGCCCGGTGGGACCATCTCTGCCTTCCATCTCTTCTCTTCGAATATTCAACTACATACATCATCAATGGCACCAAGGAGCAACAAAATCATGATTGCACGTTCCAGGGCTACTGATGCTAAGCCTGTTCAGGAAGCTGCACATGTTACCACTAATACCCGCGCTATTGGTCCTGTGACAAGGAGTATGACGAGAGCCTCCACCCAAAGTAGTATGGAAGCTCCATCGGCGCCAACTCCCGTCTTCGGTTCAACATCACCAATGAGTTATTCTTCCATGATGGGGATCCAAGACGTTCCTGTCTCGATTGAGAAGACTTTTGCTATGCTCGAATTTGGATCTGAATCCAAGTTTTCTAAGCATGACGATGATTCATCAAGCACTAGATCATCCTCTTCACATGAAACGCTTCATTCAAGATTTTCTATTGAAGATTCTGCTGCTTCTTCTGCTGCAATGCCTGTCATGATGACAAATACTTTAAGTCTCGAAGAGCAAGTTTTGAACATGTCCAAGATGATGGAAATCATGATGAAACACATCAAGGACCAAGATGCCCTCATTGCTCAACTGCTCACCCAGAAAGATCACGTTTCTGAAGGAAGCCATGCGAACTAAGAGCGTGAAATTCCCTCATCTAAAGGCAAAGACAAAGTGAAGGAAGTATATGTGACCGTCGATGGAACTATCCCCGTGGAACAACTGAAGGAACTTGTTGAAGGCGTGATCAAAGATAAAAAGGAGGGTGGTTCAAAATCAAGCTTTACCTACTGCAAGCCTTACACTGCTAGAATCGACAACCTCGCAATGCCTGTTGGATATCAACCGCCTAAATTTCAACAGTTCGATGGGAAGGGTAGTCCAAAACAACATGTGGCCCATTTTGTCGAAACCTGCAATAATGCTGAAACCTATGGTGACCTGTTAGTCAAACAGTTCGTCCGATCCTTGAAGGGCAACGCGTTTGATTGGTACACTGATCTCACTCCGGGGTCCATCGACAGTTGGGAACAGTTGGAACAAGAGTTCTTGAATCGCTTCTACAGTACTAGAAGAACCGTCAGTATGTTGGAGTTGACTAACACTCGTCAATGGAAGGATGAACCTGTGGTCAACTATATTGATAGGTGGAGAAGTCTGAGTCTCAACTGCAAGGACAGACTGTCTGAACCCTCTGCCATAGAAATGTGCATTCGAGGAATGCATTGGAGCCTAAACTACATTCTACAGGGTATACACCCAAACACATTTGAAAAATTAGCTACTCGTGCTCATGATATGGAGTTAAGTATCACGGCTAATGCAACTGATGGGCTTCCTATTCAAGCTCCGCCAGTGCAGCCGTCTCGTCAAAGCAATGAAAGGCAAGAAAATAAAAAAGGGGGCAAGCCTCCTTCAAGACTCAGTAATAAGGAGTCCATGGCAATAAATACAGTCCCCATAAAAATTGCTACCAAAGTGAGTCGAAAGGTCACTGAGAAGTTGGATCCATCCCAAAATAGGTCAGTAAGAAGACCCACGTTAAAAGAGATGCAAGAAAAAGAATACCCATTTCTTGAATCTGATTTACAAGGGATGTTTGGTGATCTTCTCAAGGAGAAACTCCTTGAACTTCTCGAAATGAAGCGTCCAGAGGAAGCCGGTCAAGTCAATGATCCAAATTATTGCTGTTATCATCGCCTGATTGGCCACCCTCTCACTAAATGCTTTGTCTTTAAAGACAAAATTATGGAATTGGCCCGTCAAGAAAAAATTCTTTTCGAGAAAGATAAAGCATCGGCAAACCAAATAACAATAATGTTTGGGTCTGTGTGTTGTCCGATAGAAGTTTTAGCCACAACAAACAGTGCTTCGTCCAAGGAGCTTGAAAAATTCTCAATTAAATACGTTATTGAAGATGACAACGAAGGATGGACTTTAGTCACTCGAAAGAGGACTTGCAAGCCAAAAATAGAGAAGTACATCTTTTCGAAAAGCATTCGTTCGACAAAGCCTAAAGTGACAATGAAATGACGAAATGCAACAAAGAAACAAAAGGGAGTGGCCACAAAACCAATTCCTTCAGATTTTCAGCTCCTTCAAGAGGTTCGACAGCCCATGACACTGAGAAAATTTATACCCAAGGGGTATTTAAGTAATGATGCTGATAATTCCACCTCTTGTAATGTCGTCAAAGCTGAAAATCCTCAAGTCACACAAATTGGCACGAAATTTGAGAAAAAACTCAAAATCGATGATAAACCACCAGTGAATTGTGCAACGACCATCATTTTTTATGATGACGATTTAACTGTTGAGTTCAAAACTCACAATCGACCTTTGTTTGTTAGCGCGTATGTCCGAGAACAGAAAATGAATCGGATACTCATTGATGGGGGATCTGCTGTCAATATTATGTCCGTACGTGCTATGAAAGAATTAAAAATTTCAAGCGATGAACTCTCCCAGAACCGCCTAATGATCCAAGGATTTAACCAAGGGGGGCAAAGAGCAATTGGTCTCATAAGGCTTGAATTGTTCATTGGTGAGTTGTCTTCAAGTGCGTTATTTCATATCATTGAAGCCAAAACCTCTTATAACATGCTCTTGGAAAGGCCCTGGATTCATGAGAATGAAATTATATCGTCTACTCTTCATCAATGTTTCAAATATTGTCGAGATGGTATAGTTAAGAAAGTTACTGCCGATGACAAACCTTTCACTGAGGCCGAGACTCACTTTGCCGACGCCAAATTTTACCTTCAGAAAGAAGCAAAAAGAAAAGAATCAGTGAAGGAAGAAAGTCAAGATTTCAAAGTACCCAATTTGCGATATATTCCAAGATCAAGGAGAGAAGAAGGTCAGTCTTCTTTTATCAGAAATGATACATTAAATATTCCGCTCACCAAGATAGAGCCTGTTAAAAATGAGAAAGCGAGCTTGCAAGGATTTGTTCGTCCCAAAGAAGAACCGGCAGTAGAACATTACTCACTACCAACTAATCGGACTCAAGAAGGTTTTGATCCAAACGCATACAGACTTCTTGCTAAGGCCGGTTGTAACCCAAATGAGAAGCATGCATTGGGCAAACTCCCTCCTGAGGTGACTGGCGAGAAGACTCATGGATTAACACCTACGCAGAAAATATTGAAAGAAAAAGGCTATAACGTTGAAAGTTCATCGATGGGTCTTGGTTATCAACCGCCTTCTCCAGTGCGTATAATGATCAAAAGGGCAAGTTGTAACTATGTGAACGAAGAGATGGAGGTCACAAGCCGAAAGAGATCTGTGTTCGATGGGTTGGGAAATAAGTCAAAGCGTACTTCTGTGTTTGACAGACTTGGCCCGCAGTCAAAAAATTTGAAACCGCCCATCTATGAAAGATTAGACAGCAAAAAACAAGAGTACCAAATTGCCAAAGAAGAAAGTCTTACTCCAATAAAAAAGAACGGACTAAGAAAGCAAGTCTCCAATTTCTTCATGCACTATGGAAACTTATTCAATGTAAGAATTGAAACCATTTTTGAAGAACAGGGTCAAGAAAGTATGGCTTCCTGTCACCATATTATGATCAGTGATCCCGAAGAAGAAGAAGAAGATGCGGATGACGCTCCCCCTGAACTTGAACAAGGGGTAAAAAATACAGTCGATGCCCTAAAAGAGATTAAACTTGGCACAAGCGACGATCCTCGCCCAATTTACGTAAGCTCTTGTATGACTCCTGAAGAAGAGAAAGAATATGTTGATTTGCTGCTCGAGTTCAGGGACGTCTTTGCCTGGAATTACTCAGAAATGTCTGGTTTGGATCCAAGGATCGCCGTTCATAATTTGTCTGTCAAGCGAGGAACAAAACCTGTCAAGCAAGCTCAAAGGCGCTTTCGGCCCAAATTGATTCCTCTGATAGAAAAAGAGATAAATAGATTGATTGAAACTGGATTCATACAGAAAGTGAAATATCCAACATGAATTTCAAGCATTGTCCCTGTGAGGAAAAAGAATGGGCAAATCCGGATTTGTGTTGATTTTCGAGATTTAAATGAGACTTGCCCCAAAGATGATTTTTCACTCCCCATCACAGAATTGACGGTAGATGCTACAACCGGGTATGAAACACTATCTTTCTTGATGGATCATGTGGCTACAATCAAATACGTATGGCGCTCGAGAATGAGGAGCTCACTGCTTTCCGCACCCTCAAGGGAATTTATTGCTATAAAGTGATATCGTTTGGCTTGAAAAATGCTGGAGCGACATATCAAAGGGCAATGCAAAGAATTTTTTATGATATGCTCCATAGGAATGTGGAGTGTTACGTTGATGACCTTGTGATGAAATCAAAGAAGCGAGAGGATCATATTCAAGACCTTCGAAGAGTTTTTCAACGCCTTCAGAGATACCAACTGAAGATGAATCCTTTGAAGTGTACATTCGGAGTCACTTCTAACACGTTTCTCGGTTTCATCGTTCATCAACGGGGATTAGAGGTCGATCGATCTAAAATTGATGCCATTGTGAACATGCTTGAACCGTGAAATATTCATGAATTGAAGAGCCTTCAAGGGAAGTTGGCATATATCCGGAGGTTTATCTCTAATTTGGCCGGACGATGCCAACCCTTTAGTCGGCTGATAAAGAAAGAGGTACCCTTCGAGTGGGATGAATCGTGTAGGAATGCTTTTACAAGTATCAAAACGTACCTCATGAATCCCCCACTGCTGGCTGTGCCCATTCCAGAAAAATCATTGATTCTCTATATTTCCGCCCAAGAACAGCCGGTTGGGGTCTTACTTGCTCAAGAAAATGATGAAGGTAAGGAGAATGCGCTGTATTACTTGAGTCGGATGATGACATCTAATGAGTTGAATTACTCACCCATCGAGAAGTTGTGTTTGGCACTTATATTTGCCATCCAGAAGTTGAAACATTATTTTCAAACACACACTATTCGACTCATATCTAAGTCTAATCCCATTAAATATGTCATGGCAAAACCTGTACTGTTTGACCGACTCACGAGATGGTACCTCCAGTTTCAACAATTTGAAATTATTTATGTACCTGCGAAGGCTGTCAAAGGACAAATATTGGCAGACTTTTTAGCGGATCATCACATACCTGCCGAGTGGGAATTGACTGATGAACTCTCCGATGAAGCAGTGTTTATGATCGAATCCCCATGGTCAATGTATTTCGATGGAGCCGCGCACCGTGACGGAGCTGGTGCAGGAGTTATCTTTTATACTCCTGAATCAGATATATTACCATACTCTTTCACTTTAACACGTCGGTGTTCAAACAATATGACTGAATATCAGGCATTGATTCTCGGTCTGGAAATGACCGTAGACATGAAGCAGTTGCATCTTAGGGTCTATAGTGATTCCAAATTAGTGGTAAATCAACTTCTTGGTATTTATGATGTTATAAAGCCTAAATTGATCCCATATTATAAGTATGCAAGACAACTCATGGAATATTTAGATAATGTCACTATAGAACATATTCCTAGAAATTTCAACCAACAAGCTAACTCTTTAGCAAGATTGACGTCCATGATCACTCTACCTTTTCATCGAAATCAAATTTCAATATGTCAAAATTGGATCATACCTCCGATGTTTGATGAAGAGGATGATGGTGAGGAAGAAAATGCTTATCATATTTTTGTCCATGAGATCGAAAAGGAGGATTGGCGTCACCTCATCATTGATTACATTAATCATGGAAAGTTATCATAAGATCGCAAGAAAAAGGTCGATATACGTCGTCGAGCGCCACGTTTCATTTACTACAAAGGGATGCTTTACAGAAAATCATTCAATGGGGTGTTTCTACTATGTTTTGGAGAAGATGAGGCATGCAAGCAATGGAGGAGGCTCACTCTGGGATATGTGGTGCTCGCCAATCTGGCCCGAAATTACACTTTCGTATTAAAAGAATGGAATACTACTGGCCAACGATGGTAAAGGACTGTATCGATTTTGCTAGAAGATGTCAAACTTGTCAAATCCATGGCAATTTCATCTGCCAACCTCCTGAACCATTGCATCCAACTATGGCTTCTTGGTCGTTCGATACTTGGGATTTGGATATAGTTGGACCGCTCCCAAAGTCTTTTGGAGGGCACATTTTCATTTTGACAGCAACAGATTATTTCTCAAAGTGGCCTGAAGCGGTTCCTCTAAAAGAGGTCAAAAAGGAGAATGTAGTAGATTTCATTCGCTCGCACATCATTTATCGATATGGGTTCCCGCGTTATATCATCACCGATAATGATAAGCCTTTTTGCAATGTAGCAATGAACAAGTTTTGCGAAAAGTTTCATTTCAAACAGTACAATTCGTCCATGTATTACGCTGCCACAAATAGACTCGCTGAAGCATTCAACGAGACCTTATGTAATCTGTTCAAGAAAATCATGGATAAGTCGAAAAGGGATTGGCATCTTCGAATTGGAGAAGCACTTTGGGCATACAGAATTACTTTTCGAACTCCCACACAAGCAACCCCATACGCGCTTGTTTACGGTGTTGAAGTTGTTCTTCTACTTGAGTGTCAAATACCTTCGCTAAGAATTGCAATTCAAGAAGGGTTCAGTGAAAAAGATAATATTCGTCTTCGCCTTGAGGAGTTAGAAGCACTCGACGAAAAGAGATTGGAATCTCAGCAACGGATTGAGTGCTATCAGGCTCGCCTTTCAAAAGCATTCAATAAGCACGTTCGACCTCGCTCTTTCCAAATTGGAGAGTTAGTGCTCGCCGTTCGGAGACCAATCATTCTTACTTATGGTGGACAAAGAAATTTACTCCTAAGTGGGATAGTCCATATGTTGTTCGAGAAGTATATACAAATGGCTCATACAAGTTGGTTGTTGATGGATTAAGGGTTGGCTTCATTAATGGCAAGTACCTAAAAAGGTATTATGCGTAATCGGAACCGCGCGATGCTCCTGACCCGCATGAGCTAAAACTGTGGATGGCAACCACTAATAGTGTAGTATGTAGTTAAACTGCTGAAACACTCCACCAAGTATAAGGTGGTAAACAAATAGATACTCCTGACCGGCATGAGATTAAAATGTGAACGACAGGAACTACGTGTGACTTGATTCCCTTGTTGGGATACGTAGGCAGTTTGGAGGGCAACTTCTAAGTTCAGTTACATCTCCTAAATCAAACCCTTTTTCCTTGCAAAAAAAAAAATCGTCTTTTTTTCTTTGAAATAAAATGCTAAATTTTTCTCTTAGAAAAAAAATATATATAATAAGAGATAAGAAATGAAAAGCATTTTATTATTCATAAAAAAAAAAGAAAATTCATTACAAGAAAAAAAAAGAAAAATTTAGAAAAAAGACATGGTGAAAAGTCTAAATGTCAAATTTATAATCCACTACAGCTATTTTGCATGATTCAAGTGCAAACTTCATGTCAAGTTCTTTCACTGCGTCATCAGTCAAGATGCTGGTACTTTCAATAGAAGAGAGCTCATCCTGTGCCCGAGTTATTTTAGTCTGGATCTCTTTGAAAGTTTCATGCTTTTAATCGATAGTTGAGCTGATTTTCAGACATTGTTTCTCCAAATCAATAAGTTCCTGTTGCAGAGCTTTCTTCCTGTCCTCAATAGACTGCAGCTTTTCTTCAAGTTCACCTTAGCTCTCCCGAGTTGGACGGTCACTTGTTTCTTTACTCATCTTTTTCCATGACGAAGATGCCAAAACATCATATGTCTCCGCCTTGGCAAACAATTCTATCAGGAAGTCCTTTAAAGGGAGACCATTGGTAGGATCCGTTCTTGTGATTTCCGCAATGATTTCCTCTGCGCACTCTTTTAAAGAAGAGATCTGCTCAATAGGAGTGTCAAGAATCTGTCTGCGAAAATCCATCCACAAACTCTGCAAGTATTTTCTTCGATGCATCTGGATCAACTTTTGGCCACGAAACTCTGAAACCAATGCTACCTTAGGTCTTTTTCGGATTTCGTGCGAACTAGTCAACTCCTTCTTATGCATTGACGAGGTACCTCCACTGGGGGCAAGTTGTTTTGAAATTCTGATAACGATTTCGTCATTTTTCTTGTTTGAAATTATAGCATCAGTTTCAAGTTCAATTGGTGAGTTGGTACCAACATCTTCTTGACAGAATTCAAGAAACGAGGGCTAAAAAGAAAAAAAATTACAAAAAAAAGAAAAAAAATATAGCGAGATGATTACCTTAAGTGGCGACACTCCAACTGACGGTGGTGTAAAGGAAACTTCCTCCAAATCAGAAAATGTCCTCTTCTTTGATCGGTTCCAATGACGGTCTTGACTACTGCTACCGCTTGCCAACGAATGGATTCCTTCTCGAGTAGATCCGATGCCCTGAACTTGAGTCCCTTCCTTTTCTATAGCCTCAATAGAATCACGATCGTCCACCGTTTCAATTTCGACATCTTCTTCTATGTGAGTCACGGATACGGATTTTGAAATTTTGGACGGCGTCTTTTTTGTTGGAATCACTGGTTGCGCCTCTTTAATGGCCTGTCGGGAGTCCTTGGAAAACTTATTTTTTGCGGCAATGTTTCTCAAGGGACTGCTAATAATTTCGTTCTTCCGCAAGGTGAATGAGATAAGATCCGTTACAATCTTTATAGTTCCATTATGATGCACTGAGTCGTTGACGGAGGTGACCTTACCCTTTTTCAATGATTGCTGAGGGATCTTAACGGTGAGTTTTAAGGGAGTTGAAGAGACATTATTTGACCGAGTCGACCACCAGACGTCGTAGTCTTTTGTGATCAATGGGTGCTTCATGTGCGTGGGTATAGTCATCCGAGATCGCGTCTGCGTGTGGACTGAGGAGTCCCATAGTTGAATAGCCTCACCCAGAGTATAAGTATGAGTGATCTCTTTCAAGTTATTGGGAATGTCCTGACAGAAGCCGAATTGTCGGCTAAACCTGCAAAGATTATAGTTTTCAATAATAAAAGTATTGTCCTTACGTAGAGTTAAATGGCAAGAGCGTTGACTAATGAAGTAGCTCGTAAGTCTTGATGATAAGGATCCATCATCGATCAACACATTTTCTTCATTCTCAGTCCAGCACAATTTAGGAAGCATCAAAGGATTCACTCCTTTGAAGATTTCCTCCGCTTCCGATTGGCCATAAAATATTGCCATTTTCTCACCACTAAATCTTGTCATGCGCGCGTGGTGGCTACTCACTTGATGATTTTCATAATATACATCGAAGTATTGGCCAATCCAAGTATAGACGTAATGGATTGGAAAAGTTACCCCACATTCTCCAAGATTAGGGGCGTGGACGATCTCTCTCAACCCATGATATATGCTCGCAAGAACCGGAATTGCAAGGCAAAATCTTTTCCCTGTGGCCATTAAGCATGCAACCTTGAAGACACTTGGGCGAATACGATCGACATTTTTGCTTGGCAAAAGGAACTTGCAAATCCAACACGCTATGAATGCCGCAATATAGGTTTTCTTTCTGAGAGACCCTGGGATACCCAGGGTGTCAAAAGGGACGTTGAAGTCATTCGTATCGGCAAGGTCGTAAGGCTCCACGCTTCCAGAAGGGTTGTAAGTCATTTTTGGTTTAGATGTGGTCTTCCTTCTATTCGCTCTATTTGGAGGAGCCCTATACCTAGCCTCTCCTTTGAACCAGAAGCGAATCCAGTCCTTCATCCATACCCCTTGATCATTCGTTCAAAGGTGGTAGTAAGCGGAAAAGAGGTGCCTGTAACCCTCGGGGAGAAGTGGCTTCCCTTCTTTGTCATGAGTGAGGAGCTCCTGCGTCGAAGGAACAATTTCATCGAAGAACGAGCCATCGATCGAAAGGCCACCAAATCAATAAAGGTCCCAAAGTGTGATGGACAACTCCCCAACGGGCGTATGGAGTGTGTTCGTCGAGGGGCACCAATATTTGAAGAAGGCTCGCAAGATATTTTCACAGCGGTCGTAGGAGTATCGCGACGCGTAGACAGCTTCAAATATGCCAGCATGGGTAAGCACTTCTTTATACCTTCCTAGGATGTCCTTGACCCATTCCCAATAATGAGAAGTGAAGCACGCCTCGCCAAAGAAGGATGAGGGGATCGTCCATGTAGTTTTGTCAATATTGAATCCCACGAACGGAAGTGTGAATTTTGCTATTTCTGGTTCTCCGTTGTGAAGAGACGAGTTTAATACGACTATTTCTTCTTCCCTCGATGTAGTGGAGAAAGTTGAGGGTGCCACCACTTCCTTAGTCCACGTGCTAGTCCAATCTTCAAGATGAAAGCATCCTTCAAGGGGTATGAAAGACTCAGCGAACGAGCCAATTGCTGGTTTATGAACATGTAGTGACAAACTCTTTGATTGAGGTCCACCCCGTTCATCCATCAATGAAATATGTGGCAATGACGTGGCGTAGTCCTTAATTTGCATATTTGCTGAAATTTTGAAAAGAAAGTATTAGACGATGAAAGGAACTTCTTACAAAAGTTTGGTAATTAAATTACCTAATTGGTGGCTTTCTTCAAATACCCGAAATTGTTTCAAGCACAGCTTTGGTTATCTATAAGGAAGCAAGTTGACGAAGTTTGGATCAAAATCACATATGATGGGAATATTTGGGACGCAAAAAAAAAAAACAAAAAAAAATGTTACGAAAGTTGAGATTAAATTTTCAGCCCTGAGGAATAGCTCAAAAAAAATACTATTTTGAGCCAATCTTTGTTCTCAAATAATATTTAAAGGGCA